AATAAATAAAATCTTAAAAAAAAAAAAAAAAAAAAAAGGGCAGCCCCGGTGGCACAGCGGTTTGGTGCCGCCTGCAGCCCGGGGCGTGATCTTGGAGACCCAGGATCAAATCCCACGTCGGGCTCCCTGCATGGAGCCTGCTTCTCCCCCTGCCTGTGTCTCTGCCTCTCTGTCTCTCTCTCTGTGTTGCTCATGGATAAATAAATAAAATCTTGGGATCCCTGGGTGGCGCAGCGGTTTGGCGCCTGCCTCTGGCCCAGGGCGCGATCCTGGAGACCCGGGATCGAGTCCCACGTCGGGCTCCCGGTGCATGGAGCCTGCTTCTCCCTCTGCCTGTGTCTCTGCCTCTCTCTCTCTCTCTGTGTGTGACTATCATAAATAAATAAAAATTAAAAAAATAAATAAATAAATAAATAAATAAATAAATAAATAAATAAATAAAATCTAAAAAAAAAAGAAAGAAAGAAAGAAAGAAAAGAAAATATGACCCAGTGAGTAGAAAAATCAATTAAAATTAATCCAGAAGAGAGGTGTCTGGGTGGCTCAGTTGGTTAAGCGTCTTGACTCCTTTTTTAATTTTTTTTTTTTAATTTTTATTTATTCATGATAGGCACACAGTGAGAGAGAGAGAGAGGCAGAGACACAGGCAGAGGGAGAAGCAGGCTCCATGCACCGGGAGCCTGACGTGGGATTCGATCCCGGGTCTCCAGGATCGCGCCCTGGGCCAAAGGCAGGCTTTAAACCGCTGCGCCACCCAGGGATCCTGCGTCTTGACTCCTGATCTCAGCTCAGGTCTTGATCTCAAAGTTGTGAGTTCAAGTCCCATACTGGGCTCCACATTGGGTATGGGATCTACTTAGAAAAAAAAAAATTTTTTTTTAATTTAACCCAGAACCGATATAGATGTTAAAATTACCAGAAAATGACTCTAAAACAGCATTCTGTATAACTGTACTCCATATATTCAAAAAGTTAAGTAGTGACATGAAAGACATAAAGACCTAAACTGAACTTCCAGGGATAACAATCACATCTACAATGAAAAATACACTGGATTATAAAAACTGGGGAACTTGAAGGCCTAGCAATAGAAACTGCCCAAAAGGAGAGAGAAAAAGCAAGAGTCAAAAAAATGAACAGTTCATCAATGGGCTACGGGACAGCCTGATATACGTGTAATAGGAGTTCCAGAGGAGATAAGGGACAAAAAATTTGAAGAAATTATGGCCAAAAAATGTCCAAATTTGATAAAAAGTATGAACTTACAAATTCAAGAAGCTCAATAAAATCCAAACACAAGAAACATGAAGAGGACTACACTAAGGCACATGATAATCAAATTGCTCAAAAATCAAAACAAACAAAAAGGCTAACCTGTTAAAAGCAATTGGGGAAAAAAAGACACATGAAGCACACAAGAACAAAGATAACAGCAGATTTGCCATAAGAAATAATGTCAGGGGGGATCCCTGGGTGGCTCAGCGGTTTTGCGCCTGCCTTCGGCCCAGGGCATGATCCTGGAGTCCTAGGATCGAGTCCCAAATCGGGCTCCTTGCATGGAGCCTGCTTCTCCTCTGCTTCTCTCTCTCTCCCTGTGTCTCTCATGAATAAATAAAATCTTTAAAAAAGAAAGAAACAAACAAACAAACAAACAATGTCAGGAAAAAGGCAAAGGAATGTCATCTTTAAAGCACAGGAAAGAAGGAAAAAAAAAAAGGCACAGAAAGAATGGGGATCCCTGGGTGGCTCAGCAGTTTAGCGCCTGCCTTCAGCCCAGGCGTGATCCTGGAGTCCCAGGATTGAGTCCCACAATCTCCCTCTGCCTATGTCTCTGCCTCTCTCTCTCTCTCTCTGTGTCTCTCATGAATAAATGAATAAAATCTTAAAAATAAAAATAAAGCACAGAAAGAAAAAGCTGCCAGGCTAAAATTCCATACCCAGAACATTTTCCCAAAAAAGGCAAAATGAACACTTGCAGACATACAAAAACTAAAAGAAGTCAGCACTAGCAGAGCAGCACTATAAGAAATATTAAAAGAAGTCCAAAAAAAAAAAAAAAGAAGTCCTTCAGGCAAAGGAAAAAATGGAAAGAAATATGGACACCCAAAAATGAAGAGCACAGATAATGATAACCACACAGGTATATATGTGGCTTTTTTTTTTAAGACTTTATTCATTTATTTGAGAAGGAGAGAGAAAGAGATCATATGCGTCCATGAGCAGAGAGGGGGAGAGGGAAAAGCAGGCTTCCTGTTCAGGAGAGGCTTCCTCCTCAGCAGGCAGCCCGCATGACCTGAGCCAAATGACCTTAAGCAGACACTTAACCAACTGAGCTACCCAGGTGCCCCTGGCTTCTTTCCTATTATTTAAATATCTTTAAAAGAGGGGATCCCTGGGTGGCGCAGCGGTTTGGCACCTGCCTTTGGCCCAGGGCGCGATCCTGGAGACCCGGGATCGAATCCCACATCTGGCTCCCGGTGCATGGAGCCTGCTTCTCCCTCTGCCTATGTCTCTGCCTCTCTCTCTCTGTGTGTGTGACTATCATAAATAAATAAATAATAAAAAATTTAAAAAAATATATATAACTTTAAAAGATAATTGAATATTTCAACTGACTGTTCAAACAAAAAATAAATAAATACAATGTAATTAAAGTAAAATTGGGCAACCCAGGTGGCTTAGCAGTTTAGCACTGGGCCTAAATCCCTGGAGACCCGGGATTGGGTCCCACATCAGGCTCCCTGCATGGAGCTTGCTTCTCCTTCTGCCTGTGTCTCTGCCTCTCTCTCTCTCTCTCTCTCTCTCTCTCTCTCTCTCTCTCTCTCTCTCCCTCTCATGAATAAATAAAATCTTTAAAAATAATAATAATAATTAAAGTAAAATATGTAACACAGCCCACAAGCTAGCAGGGGAGAAATGCAATGTCAATTATATCTGTATAAAGCAGTTAAGAAATTAAAAGGTTGGATAAAATAGTATCCAAAGACCGTCTCATGAGAAAGTTTCTAATGTTATATTTCAATGTTACAATTTCTTCTCCTAGATTCTTTATTTTAAAAATATTTGATAATATCCATTTTACTATATATTTTTTATATGTGCATCTATGCATCAAAAAAAAAATTAGACGGCTTTCCAATATACCTTTCTCCTGGAATCTCACTAAAAGGGAAAGAGAAATAAAATATTTAAAGAATTAATGAGGGGCCCCTGGGTGACTCAAGTTGGTAAAGCATCTGCCTTCAGCTCAGGTCATGATCTCCAGGTCCTGGGATCAAGTCCTGTGCTGCTTCTCCCTTTCCCCCTGCTTGTGCTCTTTCTCTCAAATAAATAAATAAAATCTTAAAAAAAAAAAAAAGAATTAATGAGGAAATTTATAAGGAAAAAGATGTAGAAACAGCAATCAAGAATTGCACATCAGGGGATCCCTGGGTGGCTCAGTGGTTTAGCACCTGCCTTCAGCCCAGGGCATGGTCCTGGAGTCCTAGGATCGAGTCCCACATCGGGCTCCCTGCATGGAGCTTACTTCTCCCTCTGCCTGTGTCTTTGCCTCTCTCTCTCTCTGTGTATCTCATGAATAAATAAATAAAATCCTTAAAAAAAAATTGCACATCAACTCTCCAGTTCCCAAACTATCAAATAAAATAGCATTTAGGAAAAGGTTGAAACTGAATAATCTGAAGGGGGGATGTGAAACCTTCAGCCCTGGAGAGAGGTATCAACAGCTGTGAAAGCATGCTTTAGGATGGGACTAAAATAGAAGGAATGGGTTAAAAGCTGTTTAAGAAACAGCAATATCAAAAAAAAAAAAAAAAAAAAAAAGAAAAGAAAAGAAAAGAAAAGAAAAGAAAAGAAACAGCAATATCCCTAAATCCTCTCTGCCTCTTTGAGAAGACACGACTTGCCCCTGACAAAAAAAATGTAGGTGAGGCCATAGAACTGTCACTTACTAGGCACAGATGAGATGTAGTAAGAGGTCTACTGATGGCTGTGTTTGGGAGGCGGGGTGCTCATCTTCTATACTCTGAGCCCTAGTGTCCTTGATCTGCTTGGCTCTCAGAAGAGTGCCAGCCAGGTCTATGTCACTCTCACAGCAGTAAAAAAGTAAAGAACAGAAGTAACACATGAAATAGTTGAGATCATCAACTGCTGGGAAGTGACAACAAGCAGAGGGAGGAACAGGGTACTTGATAGCTAGTTTTTGTTTGTTTTTAAAAATTTTATTTGACACAGAGAGAGCAAGTGCATGTGCACATAAGCAGGGGGAGTGGTAGGCAGAGGGAGAACTGAGCACGGAGCCCAATGCAGGGCTCGATTCCAGGACCCTGGGATCATGACCAGAGCTGAAGGCCAACCAACTGAGCCACCCAGGCATCCCTACTTTTTGCTTTTAATAGCTATTTTGTTAGAAACTTTGTATTACCATTTAACCTGTATTTTATTACTTTTTTTAAGATTTTATTTATTTATTCATGAGACACAGAGAGAGAGGCAGAGACATAGGCAGAGGGAGAAGCAGGCTCCGTGTGGAGGGCCCAATGCAGGACTTGATCCCAGGACCTCGGGGTCATACTCTGAGCCAAAGGCAGGCACTTAATCACAGAGGCCCTAGGTGCACCTACTATCTGACCTTTTTTTTTTTTTTTAATTTTTTTTAACTATTTGACCTTTTTTTTTTTAAGATTTTATTTATTTATTCATAGAGAGAGAGAGAGAGGCAGAGACACAGGCAGAGGGAGAAGCAGGCTCCATGCAGAAAGCCTGACGTGGGACTTGATCCAGGGTCTCCAGGATCATGCCCTGGGCTGCAGGCGGCGCTAAACCGCTAAGCCACCGGGGCTACCCACTATTTGACCTTTAAACAGTACTCATCTATTATTTTTAAACCATGCACTTACATCATTTTGATAAAAATTATTTTCAATTGAATTATCAGAGTACACATTAAAGTTCTCATTCTACTGTTGTTTTTGTTCATTTACAAGTCTTTTCTTCCTTACCTTCTTCCCACCTGGCTTCTCCACAGTAAAAACTTCACTCCAGATCTGAATCCCTGTTGTTTCTGGGTCAGAGCCCCCTCTCCATGAAAATCCTGTTAATGGTTCTTCTGAGTCACCCAACCAATTTGAACGGCCACCTTCCTTCTATAGGACAAATACAAAATTTCCATTTAATCTTAAATTTTGAGTAATTTTACATATCAAGAATAACCCATGAGCTTATTTTGTTCTTTTGAACACAAAAGCCTCATTTTCTAATCTGAAATGGAACAATTCTAGCTTACCTGGAAATATAAGTATCGTAGCATAAAGTCCAAGAAGAAGGACTTGCCCTTTCGGAAGGCACCAGCCACTGATACCACCACCACATCAAGGTCTCGGATGTGGTCCTGCAAGAGAATGCTGGCCAAGGCTTTCTCTTCTAGCTCATAGGAATGCTGGTCTTTCTGAACCAAAACAACCTGCACTGGACCAGGTTTTCCACTCTCCATGGCATCACCTAGATTGTTGTAGAGAAAAAAAAAAATATTCAGTCCTTTTTAAATCTGTATTTTTGAATATGGGAAAAGTAAAAATCACTTATGGTGGCAAAAAAGCGCCAACCACAAGAGAGAAAATGACAAATTAGACACCATTAAAATTAAGAGTTTAAAAAAAATAATATAAAATAAAATTAAGAGTTTTTGTTTACTGAAAGACATCAAAAGAAAGTAAAAATCAAAGTCAGACTAGTAGATAATGTTCAAAATACCTCTATCCAAAAGATTAATTTCCATAATCAATATAGAAATCCGTAACAAAAGGATAAATATTCCAATCTTTGAAACAGTAATAAGCAAAAGGCACTTCATTAAAAAAAAGGATATCCAAATGGCCAATAATCCTATGAAAAGGTGCTTCCATACCATTACTTACTGAAGAAATAGAAATTAAAACCATGAGATACTACTACGTGTCCATCAGAACAAGGCTAAAATGGAAAAGACTGACAATATCAACTGTGGGAGAAGCTGTGGTACCACTGGAATTGTCACTCATTCTGACAGGAATACAACCACTTTGGAAAACTGCTTAGCAGTATCCATTAAAACTAAACAGGCCTATGATCTAACAATTCTACTCTTAGGTATATAACCAAGAAAAACAAATGCTTATGTCCACCAAAAGACATAAATACAAGAATGTTCACATCAGGAATGTCTGAATGGCTCCAGTCGGTTGAGCGTCTGCCTTTGGCTCAGGTTATGATCCCAGAGTCCTGGGATCAAGCCCCGCAAAGGGCTCCCTGCTCAGTAAGAAGTCTGCTTCTCCCTCTCCCTCTGCCCCTCCTCCTTGCTCATGCTCATTCTGTCTCTCAAATAAATTAATAAAATCTTAAATTTAAAAAAAAGGTTCACATCAACTTTATTCAAAATAGTCCAAAACTAGAAACAATCCAGATGTCCATCAGCAGTAGAAAAGGTGCCTGCCACTGCTAAGCTTTTTACGTTTTATTTAATCCTCCGAACAACCCTATGCAGTAAAAACTACTGCCTTATTTTTAAAAATAAGGAAACCAGGATTTACAAACGTTAAACATCTTGTCCAACAAGTTCTGGAGAAAAGCTTGAAAAGATCTTTCGGTGGCTAGGACTTGTAGATCACTCTTAATAACCTACTCAACATTTTAGGGGCAATTAATTCTTTAGCTCAAAATTAAGCACTAATTAGTAGTCTCCCTACCAGAGTTGAAAGCAACAAAGATATTAATTCTTTGAAATTCGGAGCCACTTAGGAGCTATGGATTCAATGAAAGTTTACGAAAGACTACCAGAATGGCGTAGGGGATGAAGCAAAGCACCATTTCCCTATTTTCTCAGTATGTACCACTAGTATTAAAGATGTTTTCATGTAGTTAGAAGGACATTTGTTTTAATAATTATGTGTTTTCATGTATATAAGGAAAAAAAGCATGTCTTACTGGATTATTGCTTAGAAGGATGCTAAATTGAAAAGGCGAATCAATTCAAAGTTAATTGAAAGATAAATATGAAGTAAAGCATAGTACAAGTAAGCAGATATGGCCAAAATCACAAATACAGTCCCCAAATTACATTTGTCTGGGAAAACAGTCAAGGCTGCATGATCACAGCAGGCAAAGTCAACAAAACAGCTTGACTGCCAGACTCTATGCCCATTTAGCTATGGGAATTGCCACTCGCTTTTTTATACTTACAATATCAGATAACAACAAAAGGTTCTTGCCAATTTTTAATTTTTTGTCAGGCTAGTGAAAGCAAGCTATAAATATACACCATCACGACATCACTGTAATAAATGTGTATTATTATTTTTCTTTCCCATTACTGCCTGGGTAAAAAGTTAACATTGCTGTGAATAATCTCTTACCATCCTTTCTTTGCCACAATAGCAGGTGAACCAGGACCTAAAGACCTTCAATCTTTCATATAAAAGAACTAACGAGAATAACTGATTCAGATCTTAGGGATAAGCCACAGTGTCAAGTACCGTGCAATACTCAAGGCAGGTCCAAAGTCTGTGAGATGGCTGGTTGCTCTCCCCAATATTCATTTTCTTTTTTCTTTTTAAAGATGTTATTCATTTACTCATGAGAGATAGAGGCAGAGACATAGGCAGAGAAAAGCAGGCTCCATGCAAGGAGCCCGATGAGGAACTCTCTCCCAGGACCCCAGGATCACACCCTGAGCCAAAAACAGACTCTCAACCACTGAGCCACCCAGGCGTCCCCTCAATATTCATCTTCCCCTGCTGCTATGGAAACAGATTTTTAGCTGGATATAAAACTGCCCAGAAGAAACCTATTTTCAACCCAACCTTATAGCAGGGGTATTACCATGTGACTAAGTTCTGACTGGAAATCATATAGCCAACTTCTAGGTCATACATTTTCCCGTTTCCTGCTAGCTGGATGTATTCCTAGGAGGGAGTCATCCTGCACCAGGCACCCAAGGGCAACGCCCCAGAAATACTGGAGCAACAGGAGAGGTAGGGCCTAGGACTTCATGTAGCAGCATTGCCCTGCTGGCTCATTTTTATGTGGAAAAAAAAAAAATCTACCTTGTGTAGATAACTAAATTGAAGGCTCTGTCAGGTACGGCCAAACCCCGTAACCAGTACAACAGTCCCCCCAGGACTCCACAGTTAAGTTCATGATACTGGCTCTTTCAATTCCATCTGTTAAACCATCCAAGTTAACAGACCAATGTGAATGTATGACACATGGCAGGCACACAGTAAACAGCTGGAGAAAGAATGAATCATATGTACTGTAATATAGTTGAAGGCTACTCCCCTGAAGATGCAGGTGGTTTTGTCAGAGCAACAGGCACAGAAGATAAGGTGACTGGGCTACTGACAAGATGAAATGATTTGATGACAACAAAGTATGCAGTTGGGCACAATGAATCGTACTACAAGAGAAGATGAAGACCATGAGGTCAGTGAGGGGAAAAAGGTGATAAGGCCTTCACTCATATCTTCCTTTCTTTCTGCCTACAGCACAGTGAAAAGAAGAGAGGACCAGGCTATGTTTACTTGGGGGAGCTGGGGTGATTTTGCATTTCTTTTCACAACAATTTATTGGGCACACTGGATTTAAAAAGCTCTTGTTCCTTTGGTTTCAGTCTACTTAAAGAAAAAAAATCACTCTGAACTGTACACATCACCAATATAATTCAATTAAACAAATGGAGTTGAGGCGCCTGGGTGGCTCAGTCGATTGGGCATCTGCCTTCGGCTGGGATCTAGCCCCATGTCAGGCTCCCTGCTCAGAGCCTGCTTCTCCCTCTCCCTCTGCTTGCCACTCTGCCTACTGTGGGTGCGCTCTCTCTCTCTCTCTCACTCTGTCAAATAAATACAAATTTAAAAATAAACAAATAGAGTTGATCACTGTTTACCATATCATCTTTCTCTCTCGTTACCTAAGACAAGACAGTATATTTTTCTAAAAGATTTATTTATTTTGAGGGACGCCTGGGTGGCTCAGCAGTTGGGCACATCTGCCTTGGGCTTAAGGAGTGATCCTGGAGAACCAGGATCGAGTCACACATCAGGCGCCCTGCATGGAGACTGCTTACATCTCTGCCTCTCTCGTTCTCTCTCATGAATAAATAAATAAAATCTTTTTAAAAAATTATTTATTTTGAGAGAGAGAGAAAGACTGTGTGTGAGAGAGCAGTGGAGAGAATCTCCAGCAGATTCCCCACTGAGCAGAGCCCCAATGACACAGGGCTCAACCTCACAACCCTGAGATCAACACCAGAGCTGAATCCAAGAGTCAGACACTCAACCAATTGAGCTAGCCAGGCACCTCCAAGACGGTATCCTTGATCTTCCAAGTAAAAACTTTATTTCTACTCACTCCTTTCCAGAGGTCATATTTCTATGCCCTTTCTCTTCAAAAAAAAAAAAAAAAAAAAAAAAATTTAAAAGGTCACCTGGCTGGCTCAGGCTGAAAAGCATGCAACTCTTGACTGTGAGGTCGTGGATTCAAGCCACACATGGGGTGTAGAGATAAATAAAACTTTAAAAAAATAAATGTCCTTTGCTGAATCTCCAGCTCCCTAATCCCTTAAGATTCCTTAATCAAAACCTCAGGACCTTCTCCCTTAGGCCTTACCACTTCCCAATCTTTCTCGACTGTTAGGCAACATCCCCAACTGTTGCTTTAACAATGAGACCTCATCCATTAGGGCTGAGGTCCTTCAGGATACACCACGTCAGCAACTACATAAAGGGCTAGCAAAAACACTTTATGGATTGAGGGCTCAAAGCTAAATCTCTATCCTCTAAGTCAAAGCCTTTCACCATTCTCCCCACAGCCTTGGTTCCTTACTCCTTCCTTATCCCCCCCTCATCCTCCCAGGAAAATTCACTTTCATTGGCCTTTCTACTGAAAAAACTTAGGATTCAGGTCCTGTCCTGCCTTGATTCCAAAATTTCAAATGTACAATCTATTCAGCCACTTGTTCCCACAGCCTGAAATTGCACGTTCCCCCTGACTCGGAGGCAAACACTAATCCTTTGACACTCACCTTCCCCTCCCTCTGGACCTATTTTCCCAGTTATACACGGTATACTGAAAAGAAAACAGGCTCCAGAGGTGCCTGGGTGGCTCAGTGGGTTAAGCGTCTGCCTTCAGCTTGTCAGGTCATGATCCCAGAGTCCTGAGATGGAGCCCCATATCAGGCTCCCTGAACAGCAGAGGGCCTGCTTCTCCCTCTCCCTCTGCTTTCCGCTCTGCCTACTTACACGCTCTCTTTCTCTGTCAAATAAATAAATAAAATCCTAAAAAAAAAAAAGAAAGAAAGAAAGAAAAGAAGAAGAGAAAAAAGAAAAGAAAAGAAAAGAAAAGAAAAGAAAAGAAAAGAAAAGAAAAGAAAAGAAAAGAAAAGGCTCTGGAATCATTTCTCCCCTCTAGAATGTAAGCTCCATGAGGGCAGGATATTTGTGTCTTCTGTTCAATGCTATATCCTCCAA